TACCGGCAAATCCTCGTTAACTTGAATTTGGTTGTGACGATGATGATGCTCGTCACCTGACGGACGAAAGCTTAGCAACCTTTCGCCGGAATCGAAGGAGATTGCCTCGGAAACAGCATTAGCATGAATCTTCCAGTAAAGCCAATCGACAGCCGTCGTCGTCTTCTGGTGGAACCGATCTTCGAATCTCTTCACCCAACACTTTCACTCGAAATGGAAGTAAGCTCAACAATGAAGTGAAATTTAATGGAAATGTTAAATCTACTCATATGATTTTGGGAAAATTCAACTACCACTCTCCTTATTTTTTGCTTCTAAGAAGGGTTTCAAAGAGCCTGAAAACCTAAAAACGAAATAGGATGAATACATCTCATGTACTTGGTAGTGTCATATTGAGGCCATGCTAGTGGGAATGGGCCAGAAGAGCCGTCGACATGAGGCCTTTGCCGTGTTAGGGTGACTCTTTCAGCCAATGGGCAAAACAGTTTCGGTTTTGCGCACGTGTTTGCCTTAACAGGGCAAATCTAGCGCTTTGCTAAGGAGTGTGTCCTCCACAGCTTACTTAGCGCCCGACTAGACTAGGCCGAATGTCTCTACACACAAGCAATCACATTGTTTTCACATCCACAGCCACCTCCAGGTGGGATGGCCTGTTTGGCCCTTGGGGTATGGGCCAATCGGTTTCGGGCTGGGGGGCCACATCTCTTGCCGTTAGGCGGGTGTGTAAACAGGACAAGGCCATACAGACGGACCGGGAGAACTCCGATTGGAGAGTAATGGGGCAAGTGTGGTGGGAATTCTGCCCACGCGATGAGCCCGAGGCGGACGGGTTGCGGGACCGGGACACGGCTGGTACAGAGCCGGGACCGGGACCAGGACCAGGACTAGCCGGACGAGGGAAAAAACAAACAAACACAACGAATACAGTGTCGGATAGTTTGTGTGTTGGGGTTGAGGGGAGAAAGGGATGGCTTTTGCGTCTGCGAGGCGGAGCCTAGCTTCGTCCATTGCGCCCTCTCAGAGCGAACGCCAGAAGATGTTGATTCTACCAATCGTCCTTGTCCCTTTCACGGCACCTGTACCCTTGGCCTGACTTCCAGAGCCATTCTGGCATCAGTGGACACTCATGTACCGGCCGTCATGAGACGGCCAACACATGAGAACAGGATTCTAAACCGCCTGACAGCTGTTCTGTACAACTCAACTGTCTGACTTGGTCAGATGAACTCATTTTATGCGTATTAAGTAGATTTCGAAACAATAAGTAAAACTTAAAATAACTGGGCTGACCTCGTTGTCGCAACTTGGTCTTGTTGTCAGGGCGACTGAGTAGAACACATCAAGTCCGAAGTCGTCTGCTATAGTAGTTGTCATCAGTCCCAGCATCAAAAAGTCGACTTGGTACATTCTCAAACGTTTCGCCGGCATCGTAGTCGGCATCATCAGTCAGTTTTGCCATTTTCCACACCAACTCGTCAAAGAGACAAGTGAAGCCAATCCTCCAACCAACGTGGGATAAGAAGAGGGTAAAGAGTAGATAGATAGGCCAGGACAGAAAGGGGAGTGTTAGTGTAACCGTTTTGGAAGAACGTTTGTCCAGGGATTGACTTAAGTTGTAGCTTGTTGCGGAGAATGGCAAAGCTCACTGATGATGCCGACTACGAATCCGACCAAGTCCACTGTCTGATGCTGGGAATCATGACAACTACTATTGCAGACGACTTCGGACTAGGTGCGTTCTACATACTCGCCATGACAACAAGATCAAGTTGCGACAACGAGGTCAACCCATTTCTATAAATCGAAAGGAGACTGCCCCCATGCCAGAGGCCATAAAATCCTCGTCTTCATATATTCTTAAAATAAGTGTTCCTGACAAGTGGATTTTCTCACATTACTATGAGTGGGTATCACGGTTTCACTGAAATTCACATAGCATTGCTTCCCAAAATGTATTCTAATCCAGACTGAACTGCAGTTATGACGTCGTATTGGTTTCCTCAGAACTCCGAGCAGGATTTGAGACCAAGTTATGCAGCCTCCTTTTGTTTCGTAAAAAGTTACCATTTTATATTGTTCCCTACTTATATTCATCATGCTTTTGAGCATATTTCTAAGCTATCAGTGTTTGCTGAAGAACAATACTACTATTATTGTTAGTAATGTAATACAAATATAATAATAATAAAGTATTAGTACTAGTGTTAATAAATATTTATTAATTTATAAATATATCCTAGCATATATAATATATAAATTAATAATACGTTAATATAAGGTTTATATATATATAT